ATGGAATCGTTCGTGACGACCGAGTTCAACCTGCCCGTCCGACGCATTGTGGGGGACATGCTCGGGGGGTTGTTGGACCCGACCTTCCAACATCGTTTTGGCTCGGCACCTGTCATCCAGTGTTTCCAGCTCATGCAGGAGTGGAACGCCCGGTTCGACCAGCAAGAGATCCTGGCGTCGTACGTGACGGCGTTGACCGGCGCGGACATAGTGATCTCGGGGCCGGTGGCCATGATAGAATCGTACTGCGTCGCAGAAGCCATCGGCGCGACGTGGGTGCCGCTCTTCCTTGGTCACTTCCACTTCCCGACGTCCGAGTTTCCCCAGTGGATGCTGGAAAATGTCACGGGGAACTGGTGGGGTGGTCTCAACAAATGGAGCCATTCGATCATCGTGAGCCTCGGGTGGAAAAAGGACCAAGCTAGGTTCAACGAGTGGCGAGCTAAGTCATTGCGCTCGCCGCCCCTGACAATGCCCGTGATGAACTCGATGCTGGCCCACGACAACATCGTCATGTACCAAGCGTGCTCGGTGCTGTTCGCTGGGCCCAAGCGACGAGTGCCGGTGGATTATCCCCCTGGTAAAGTTGTCTACACCGGCTTCGTGTTCCCATACACGCCACAGCCCGAACCTGAGCCGTTGAAGGTACTCGGCTGCCATTCTGTTGCTATCATGCTTACGTCTCTCGTGCGATCGACCAGGTATTTCTCAGCCAAAGCTCGGTCCCCGTCATCTACGTCGGATTTGGCAGTATGCCGACGTTGGAGTCGCTGGAACTGCTCCAGTTCGTCATCGACGTGTGCAAGATGACCGGCACGCGATGCGTCTTAGCTGCAGGATGGTCATCGCTGGATCAGTCAAGCTGCAAGGTGCTCGCGGACAAGCACGCAGACCTGCTGTATGTCGAACTCGGGTCCATTTCGCACGTTTGGCTGTTTCCTCAAATGAGCTGCATCGTGCATCACGCGGGGCTAGGGACGTCAGGCGCCGCGTTGCGCAGTGGTATGTGGCTTCCTTTGATACCACAAGTCGACTAAATCCAGTGAACGGACGGATAGGCGTGCCGCAGGTCCCGTGCCCCAAGTTCGTGGACCAGTTTCACAATTCAAAAGTGTTGGTACAATTGGGTGTGGCTCCGTGCGCCATCTCCAAGAAGAAAATGACAGTGTCGCACGTTGCAAACGCCATTCAGCGCGTGCTTCGCAACGAGAACGACGTCCAAGGCACCGCTCGTACCCTGGGCGAGTTTGTCACCAAGGAGAGCCACGATGGGTTTCCTCGGCTCTGCGACATGATCTTAGCCACCAAACCGACCTTTGCCAAAAAGGAAACGACGACTTAGCGGTATACAAACGGAGATGGGACGCATGGATCGAGTATTGGAACTGTTCGACTACGTTTGGCGAGCGAGCTGGACGGATGCAGGAAGTAGAATCGTCGGTTGAAAAACGAGGGATTCAGCATTCGCCCAACCTTGCATGCGGCGGCACAAACACGCCCAATCCTCCTCACTCTACGTGCTCCCATCTAGACGAGTACGCTGCATTGCTCGCGCGTAGAACAATGCCCTTGGGACCATTCTAGCTGGTTCGCAGCGGGACGCAACCACTTCTCTCGTCTGGGTGGTTGCACACGCGGTCGTGGTCGCTGCACCGCCGCAGATCCACGATCCCACGACACTCCCACGGTCTTTCCATGAATTAAAAAAAGGTTGTTTTCGATACAAACATCAAGTCCTCTCCAAAAATAACTCCCTTCAAATTTGCCTTCCTAATCTCGTGCGACACCTCGACATCGTTGTGTGCACTCTACGTCGCCATATGTACTAGATAAAATAATCCGACGTAACGGTTCCAAATAGTGCACTTTGCCGCCTATGTGTTGGATAAAATAGTTCGGTTCCAAATAGTGCACTTTCCTTGCCATACATCTATGTAATTCAATTCAACTTGCCATATATCTATGTGATTCAATTCAACGAGTTGTTTTTCCACACGGTCCGAAGCTATTTTGACCAACAGTTGCTCACACGAACCGACCCTCGGCCACTCCAGCACTCGCGCTCGGCACAATCAAAAATGCTGTCGTCTGCAGGCCGCAGTCTGCTGAGCGAGGCGTTGTCACCGTCGGGTCGCCAGGTCCTCAACGATTTCTTCGAAGCGAGTGCTGGCACACGTAGCAGCACGCGGGCCAGCCCGGTCCACTACACGTTCCAGACGCTGCCGCTTCTGACCGAGGTTGTGTGCCATTCGCGACACGTTATGGACGTGCTGAGGTTGACAGTCAACGTCCACGGTGCCGTCATCGTGTCCAAGGTGTACCCTCGCAAGCAGAAATTGCAGCCGACGGTGGCGTCGCCCACTGCAGCTCTCAAGAAGGACGCGGTAGCCATCGTTGACATGGACAACCTCGGACTCATTCGGAAAGATGATACCCTCGTGAGCATCAACCAGAGGCCTGTGGACGATATCGACGATGCTCTGGATTGGCTTGCCCACATGCCGCTGCCCCTCACGCTGGTCTTTAGCCGCGCTGTGGTAAGTGCTTCATGCCCCGTGATCGTACAAGTATGCATCCCCATAAATTTTGGCGGTTGTAGGTCCGTAAGAACACGCTTGGCGAATACTCCCTGGACGACTTACGCCGTCATGCCGAGCACAACCACAGTCGACTGCTCACGCGGCACTCTCCCGCGGACGTCGCACAGATGCTGCACATGATGATCGAGTTCTCCGACTCGGGCGGGTCCTACCGCATGCTCAAGGATTTTATCCAGGACGCCGACAACTTTTTCCTTCCTTCGTCGTCCGCATCGACTACTTTGTCGCACGTGTCCTTGCCGTCGCTCACGGCCTCGTTCGACACGGTTAGCCGGTACATCCACCAAATGCACGCGTTCATGGCGGCGGACGACGCCAGCAAGCGCAAGCGATGGGCCGAAGACAAGCAAGTTCGCGCCAAGCGCCTGGAATCGATGCAGAAGCAGCTCAAGCTGCTCGAAGCCAAGCTGACGGCGCAGGCAAAGGCGGTGACCACGGCCAAAGTGTCGCAAGAGTACATCGACCTGCGGACACTTGTGGACCAACTGCGCCTGGACGTCGAACAGTCCAAGCAGATGCACTATCTGCCGTCCTGCGAAGGCTTCACCCTTCGGTTCGGGACCGCCGGTGTCTACGCTGGCGTCGGGTACGGAGTCCATTGCAAGGTGGTCGTTGACCCGTGGGACGGTGTGCTGATGGTGTAGGGACGTTTGGATCTCGTCGTACCACACGTCGTTTTCAATCGAAACGCAGCGCCACGCCCCGCAGGTGCTTCTCCGACTCACGCCGCTGTCGGACGCCGGGCTCAAGATCCGTGCCATGAACTTCAAAGTGTTTTCGGAAGGCCGGCTGATGCTTGTCCCGACCTTCCACGTGGACGAGATGAACATCGAAGTGCACTTCTCCGCCGACCTTCCCTTGATCTTTGACGCGGTCCACGGCTGGCGCGTCCACGACGACGGCATGCGGCTCAACTTTTCAAGCCTCAAGTACTACGAGCGCCAAGCGCTGTCCAACGTCCAGGGCAAGTCACACGACAACGTGATGAAAACGTTCTTGAACCGGATCATCCCGTCCGTCGTCAAGGATGCCATCACGTCCGTGCTGTGCCCAGAAGTCGGCGCCCTGCTGTTGGACGGGCGCGCCAAGGTCCGGCTGTCCGGCGACTTGCACGTGGAGGGCCGGAACCTAGCTGTGTTTGACGCCCCCCTTGGGTCACCATCCAACACGCGGGCGACCGAGATCGATGGCCAAGACGCCGCCGTTGCCGTCGAAGCGCGCGACTTGATCGGGTGTTCCATCGCGCAAGGCGATCTCCTCTTCAAGCTGTACAAACAGTTTGTCCTGCCCACGTCGACGACGAAGTCCAAGTCGAATGCAAACAACCAATTCCCCCACTTGGCGATTCGGGATCTTGTGGAGTATGGCGTCCGCCTCCGGCACGCTCCCGCTGTCCGCGCGCTCCTCACCGCGTGCTGGCAACTTGCCATTCACCTCTTGACTCCCGAATCGTCCCATGAGTCGCTGGACTTTGCCAACTTGATGGCCAACGTGGCGCAAATGGAGACTTACCCCGTGGACATTTCGCTCGGGTTGCACAGCACCAACATCCGCGTCGATTTGTGCGAAGTCGCCGCGGCGTCGTACACGGCGATCGAGCGCATGATGCGGCAGAAACTCGCCAAGGCGGACGTGTCCAAGGCCGTCGAGATCAAGCTCGAGCTCTCGGCGCTCGATGCGTCATACAACCAAGTCAACATGTGGCTGTCGACGGTCGCGAGCCGCGTCGACGAACTCGTGGTCATGGTGAAGGGCGGCTTGCCCGCGGGGTTTGACTCGAAGCTGTCGTTTGAAGCGACCGAGTTGTCGTGCAAAGGACCGTGGCAAGCAAACTTCGACATCCCCCTCACACCGACGACTGCCGCCCCCGCCAAGACGGCGAAGACGGACAAGAAGGCCGACAAGAACCAAGGGCGGACAGTGCTGGCCCACGACAACGGCGAGTTGGTTGTGAGCCACTTTGTCAATGTCCCAGGTACCGACGACGAGCAGGAATTGCAAGTCCGGATGCAAGATGCCGCGTTCCGCGTGCTCTTGGAGATCCCACCCAACGATTCCGTCCCAACCAACGTGGAAGCTATGGAGCTCAAGCTGGACACGGCAGCGGCGCCGTCCGTGTCGCTATCGATGGGCGAATGTGCCAAGTGTGCCATTTCGTGCAAGCGCCTTGCGCTGTGCAGTCCGATGTGGGCCGTCGTCCAGTTACTCGGCGACGCGTTCCAGCAGAGCCCGGTCGTGCTCGACTACCTCCGGTCGCCGTACTTCGCGTTTTCCTTGCGGTTCTTCACGTCCATCCAAGTCACGCCAGAGCAAATGTACTGGACTTTGAACAGCGCGTCACTGAGCGAAAGCGCCGTCAGCTACGTGACGCATCGCGTGTGTGTGTCGCAGCTTCTCCGCGATTTGAACGCCAAGTCGATGATGGAAGCCGAGGTGATGGGTCCTGGCGCGGCGGCCGTCGAGTTGGACGCAATCCAAACACAGCAGCTCCACGAACTGCAACATGCGGCGAAACTAAACCGGTCGCAGAGCACGGCGACGGGTGGCCGCCCCGGCCTCGCAAGACAAGACACGTTCTTTGGCGATAGGGACCCTCGCCGGCAGCACATGTTTCAGCTAGATGAACACGACGACCCAGAACCCGCGGCGGAAGCAGCCCCCGTGTCGGACGATGATGCGTATTCGTTTTAGCGTCAACCATGAATCGATGGCCATGCCTGCGCCACCCATGCTTGCATCACGCTGACGGCGACGGAGTGTGTTTTGTTTCAAACTTGCAGCGTGTACAGCGAGACAAGCGTCTGAAAACGAAATCCCACCGACTGCAATGCGAGATGGATGGCCACGACCGCCCACACGATCGTGTACGGCACGATTCCTTCCATGATGGTAAAAACGAGTGGATGCCAATCGTTGACGCCGTCATCGAAAAATACAACCACCGGGCGACGGTTGACCGTTCGAGACCACACACACGGCCGGCAGGCACCCTGCAGAACGTCCTTCACAGGTGGGGGGGACGAGTTGTCAACTTGAGTTATCTAGAGGACGTTGACGATGGCCTTGTACGAACCCGCACGATGCCGTTCGCCAGCGCATGTCGTAGGGGGTCGAGGGAGCGGAATGGAGACATGGACGAGGGACACGACTCGAAGAACGTTGTACTGCCTCGTGCCAGTGTTTTTTCCCGAGGAATGGATCTAGCACGTCCACACGACAACTGAGTACTCCCTCGTCCGTTGTGGTAGTTGTAGGACGAGCTAGGGTAACCACGCGTCATTGCTGTGTCTTCCGACTTGAAAAGACAGTGTTTCAACGTGGCACGTCGGCTGCACTCACTCGGGAAAATGGACAGGATAGCAACGAGCACTGTGTTGGGTTGCGTCAAGTCGCCGATGTCCGTCGGTACTACGTAATTGGGACAGCACTTGCCGCGTACGGCGACTCCGTGGCCGCCAAGTAGCGATTCGAGGGTTTGGGCTTTGTCCGCTGGATGGGGGGTAATACCGGCGCCATGCTCGACGATGTTTTGCACGAGCGATGTTGGCAAGACAAGTTGCGCGAGTTTGTCGCATGGATCGATACATCGTGTGTCGATTCGACAAACAAACGAATTTAAAGTCCATTGAGATGGCTGTCGCAGGCGTCGACATGGTGATTTCAGAGTCGCTGTGCTGGGCCAAATGGTACTCGGTCGTGGATGCTATACAGTAGTAGTAGCGGCGTGGAACCCGCGCTTCCTCGACACCTCCCAACAAGCGATATTGCACAATGGATGCTCCAGGACGACGTATCTAGGTTCTTTGGGGACGCCTACAAGTGGACACGTCCAAGCAACGAATGGTCGTCAACGAGTGGCGGCAAGCGCACGTGGACTCTGCTATCGAGGCACCAACCAGGAACCATGACAGGATGAAAATAAACGATTCAATTTGCATTGACAAAGCTACACCGGTGCTATATGCCAGCCCCCACCGTCCGCTGCCACTGGACTTCGCCCCTGGCAATGTCGTGTACTTGTTGATCGCTGATGGCTAGAGAGGGGTGAGGGGAACTGATTGAATCCAGAAGTGAGTGCACTTGAATTAATCAGCTACATCCTACGTAACGACACTGCGGTCGGTTGAGATCTAGAATGCGGTTGGAGGAGATCGTGCAGGTGCAACCGCCTGTGTCGCCGTACTCCAACAGTACTCGTGTACGCGGGCTTCCTCCCCCCCACCGCTCAGCCCGATCAGTTGCATAAGTACGTTACCACAGCAGATCTGCGAACCGAAGCCCCTATTCCTGCGGCCCCCTTTCGTGGACGAAATCATGAGCTACGTAGGCCTTCGTAAGACTATGTGGGTGTCAACAATGCTCTCGAGAATCCAATGTTCTTTCCATGCCACACTTGGACGCCAAACTACTCCATTCATGCGGAGAAAATTGAGTACCTCAAGGCCATGGGCATTTCGAGTGCTCATGAGCATCCAGTGCGCGAAATAAGGGATGTGCGCGCGCACACTGTGCATGGCACCCGACATCAATCTGACAAATTTTGACCAGGGGATTGGACGACAGGCAATCTGAAGTGCAACGATTGGGTGAAAACACACAATTGGATTGGCCAATGGCAATGTCGCTCATGAACATATCCGTTCCGCGGGACTTCCACTAGGGGTGCCTTGGACACATACCAGAAACAGTTTGAGTCCTTTCCGCAAGCACAAAAGGCGGGTAAATCACCTGAGACAGCCACTACAGAAGACTGTAGCGAATTCTTCCACAAATTGTACACTCGCGGAATAAAGGCGAGAACGATCAACATTGCCAAGTCCGAGCTGGTGGCGTATTTCAACAGCAAGCGTGTGTCCCCCGACCCCGCGCAGGACGCCGTTGCTCGTCAGTACATCGTTGGGCTACAAAAGTTAAACAAGAAGAACAATGCCGACGAAGAGAAGAAAGCTCACCCTCTGACGGTGCACGAGCTCTCAACTCTGATGAACAGGCTGTCTGGGCTTCATCCCTTCGTCGGATCTCTTCTTCGTCTGCTCTTGGCCGTCGCATTTCTTGGCTGATATTGTATAAGTGGCGTCTTGAATCTTCGTCGCAGCGACGTGTGTGGACTGACATCGGGTCCTTGAGCAGTCGACGCTCAGGAATCTACTCTGCGAGATTGTTGACATGACACCAAATATCCCCATCGAAATATCATTCCATAGTCTGCGTCGAGGTATGGCATTTTACCGGATGTTTGAGTCCAACGAGCGGCGCTTCAACCGAAGTGAGTTGATGGCTTGGTGCAGATGGGCCGACGCGAAAACGTGCTTCGAATAAACCTGCTACGTACTGGGAACACGCTAAATCGTGTGCCGTGGATTGGTTTGGGTGTTGGTGGTGGTGTCAGGGCGTCGGCACCCTTCTCCGTTGCTGAGCTCGGCAAAGCTGTGGCCAAGAGTCTTCAGGAAGGCTGTAGTCTGTTGGTCTACCAAAAGCAACGATGCAACTGTCTTTGAATGGTTTTGTAGCTCAAAAAAGCATACCTACTGCTCGGTCGGAGCTGCAAGCGTGGCAACAGTGGATTGTGGCCGATCATGGCGTTGGTCTCGTTTGCGCGCTGAAGGACAACAATAACGACATGATTCGACTTGATCGAAAGAAGTCCTCCGAACGATTGACCTTATCTGCAGCATTTCAGAAGTACCAATCGTATGATCAGTTCGCAGGGTCGTACTCAGGGTTCACGGAGTCATACGCGCGACTTCTCCGCGAGGTGCGTCGTAGAAAGCGACTCGGATCATTGTACTTAAGTTGACATGTCAGTTGCGAAGCCATATCACATGGCACAGTATTCAAAATGACAGTGTCCTCCAAATATTTATATTCAGATTCTGCAATAGAATATAAGCTTCTGCAAGTTATTATTGTATAAAGAAATCGTAGCTAGACTTAACCT